CCTTTTCTATTTTCCTAATTTCGTTTTCCTCTCGACCTCCTTTTAAAAAATTTTCCACAAACAAACTATACATAACCTAACAAGCATAGGCGCCCGTGGACTCAGGGCTGGCTGAGCGACGGGCGTGTGGGCGGAGGGGCGCCGTCAGCACCGCGATCCCGACGGGTGAAGAGCACGGTGTCCATCATGCTGAGGCTCTGAATGATGGTGTCGTCGCGGGACACCCACTCGGCCAGCTCCTCGATGGTGATGGCGCCGTCTTGGTTCGTGTCGATCAGCTGCGGGAAAGACTGGGGGTCAAGACTTTTCTCGAAAGGTCCACCTTTCGTTCGAGCTCCGATTGACAAAGACTATTGGCCAGAGGGATTGCGGGGTTAGTGCGCGAGGCAGGAAGCGGAAGTGAGGGAATGAAGGTATCATTTAGCTGAAATGTGAAGACTGTGTATCTAATCTAAAAAACAAACAAACAAACAACAACAAACAACAACAACATATAAATGGTGTTATTTTTCTCGGATTGGTTAAGCTTAATATATTCATTTACTTATTTGTTATTTATATATTTATTTAAATTGAATTCCCCTCGGCGAAGGATTTAGGGAAGCTGTGAGTGTAAAGGCTATTCTGAATTCGGTAAATATAGAGACAATACTATTTTCTCTCGAGAAATACAAATTAAGTCAATCCCTGCCTCTATTCTTCCCATTCCTTCCTTTCGTTCCCCTCCCTCCTCCCCCCCTCCCCCCCTCGCCCGCGCCCGCCCCCTTCCTCACATGAAAGATCTTCTCCACGTGCTCCTTGGCGGACGTCTCCTCCACCTGCGGCTCGGTGGAGCGGCCCATCATCTCGTAGATGGCGGTGACGACGTCCACCATCTCGGTCTTGGTGATGAGGCCGTCGTTGTTCACGTCGTAGAGGCCGAAGATCCACTGCAGCTTCTCCTGCGTCGTCCCGCGGGACACCGTCGACAGCGCCGCCAGGAAGTCCTGAGGAGGAGGCCGTCGGTTAGGGCTGTTGCTGCTTAGTATTTTTTTTTTTAACGGCGAGCTCAAATGGGCGGGGATGTACTTTATCATTATCAAGGATTGTTTATTCTAATGTTACTAATATTAATAACTATGGCTTTATCTTGACATATCATGAAGAACAAAGAAAGAAAATTGCTTTTTGACCAAGATATTCTCTCACTATGATAGCACATACGTTAAATCAATTATATTTTCGGATAACACTAAGAACATCGACGGGCGCTGAATGTTAAAGAAATGCATACATTTCAATTTTCGGGATTTGATTAACGACATGGAAGAAAAAGCAAGTCGTTGGAAAGTATTTCCTAAAAGCCACCGGGGTCCAAGCGGCTCGGTGTGATTCACGTGCATCAACGTGAGAGTAACTGAAATCTGGAGTGTGGTCCCGTAGACTTTTACACACAGGCTTTTCATTAATGGCGGAAACATCTGTTGTTTTTCGTCAGCTGATTTAAATGTTTGCATGCGCGCGCGCATGTATGTGTCTCTCCCTGTGTGTCTATGTGTGTGTGTGTGTATGCTAATTATATTTGTTGTTACATTAAATATATACCTATAAGAACATCAACGGGGGCTAAATTTTAGAGAAAAGCATACATTTCAATCTTTTGAAATATAATTAACAACATGGAAGAAAAGGCAAGTCGTTAGAAAGTATTTCCTAAACGCCACCGGGGTCCAAGCGGCTAGGTGTGGTTCATGAGCATCAACGTGGGAGTAACTGAAATCTGGAGTGCGGTCCCGTAGACTTTTATCAATTGCGGGTACATCTGCTGTTTTTCGGCAGTTGATTTAAACGTTTGGATGCGTGCGTGCGTGGTGTGTGTGTGTATGTGTGTTTGCGTATTTCGTGTGTGTTGTGTGTGTGTGTGTGTGTGTGTTTGTGTGTGTGTGTGTGTGTGTGTGTGGTGTGTGTGTCTGTGTGTGTGTGCCTGTGCGCGCACGCGCGTGTGTGTGTGTGTGTGTGTGCATGTGCGTGTGTGTGTATGTGTGTGTGTTGTGCATGGTGTGTGAATGTTTGTGTGTGTGTGTGTGTGTGTGTGTGTGTGTGTGTGTGTGTGTGTGTGTGTGTGTGTGTGTGTGTGTGTGTGTGTGTCTTGTGTTTGTGTGTGTGTGTGTGTGTGTTGTGTGTGTGTGTTCTATAAAGATTTAATTGCCTGTTTTATAGTATCCCCGATATAATTCATGTTTTCCCTCCTATCGGGACTGTCGAATCACGTATGCTAGTTATACTTGTTGTTACACCAACTATATACCTATAATTCTGGTTATTTCATAGCATGCACAGCTGATAATCATTTCATCAGAGAATAGTAAATTATCCCACTTACCTCGAAACTTATCTGTCCTTGATTATTTTGCGTAAATGTATTGAAGACATAATGAGCATAATGGGTGGCATCTGTAAGAGAAAACGGATCTTTTAGCCTTTCTTAAGGGGTGACTGTGCGAGAATATATATGCAATTGTTTTAGCCACATTTCTGATACATATAGTTAACAGTCTTTCGTATTAAGTGTAATCAAAATGTTTTCATTGGATACATCTAAGCCCAAATGAAGTATGAAAAATAAATACAGACAAACGAGTATGCAAACAGTGGCATAGACTTTGGAGAATATATATATAAAAGTAGATTAACATATCAGCATAACAGGCCCGAGTCAGCCTCACCTCCGAGGGGGAAGAACTGCGAGAAGATGCCCTTGAAGCCTTCCTCGTCAATGAGGCCCGTCGGACACTCCTGCAGGTGAAGGAAGCACGGCGTTAGATGATGGGGTTTATTTCGTTAGCTTCTCTCTCTCTCTCTCTCTCTCTCTCTCTCTCTCTCTCTCTCTGTCTGTCTCTGTCTCTGTCTTTCTCTATCTCTCTCTCTCTTCTCTTTCTCTATTGTCTCTTTCTCTCTCACTCACACACACATATGCGGTGTGTGTGAAGATAATGACAATGATAATGACGTTATTGGTAATAGCAGTAATCATAATGACAGTAACAGTAATTATCATCAATATATGAAAATAAGAATAAAAATACGAAAGTGTTGGGAAGAGAAAAAGGTGCAAATCCACCTCCAGCGCCTCCCTGACGCCCCGTGCCTGAGCAGGTATGATAAAACCACTAAGGGATTCTGTGTGAGTTATGGCTTGCGATGGCTCAAGGGCGGCAAGCCAAGTGCGGCAAGTGAGGCAAATGAAATGTAAACATCCTCATCTTGAATTGCCACCAAAGGGATTGATCGAGATGCGAGATTAGCCAGTCAATTAGGCGGTCCGATTTATTCATCTTTTGTGTTGAGTTGTTTGTTGAAATATTTATGATTTCATTTTATCTTTCTGTTTGTCTGAAGATGAAAAAACAACGAGAGAGAATGATGATTATTTCAAGTCTTTGTAGATTGTCAGAGAAGGAAAAGGAGAACACGAAAGAGGAAGGACAAGAGGAAGGAAAGGAGGAAAAGAAGAAGAGGAAATAAGATTTATAAAGAAGTGAAGAACGGCTAGAGGCAAAGAAGGAGGAGATAAGGGAACCTTCTTGTCTGAAGCCACCGGAGGAAGGAAATGAGAAGAGTAAAGAGACAGAAGCACATGAAAGAGGAGGAGGAGGAATGGAAGAGCAGGAGGAAAAGGACGAGGATAACGAGGGGGCCGCTGTCTGGTGCCCCTGAAGAGAGGAAATGAAGAGGGAGAGGAAGGAGACACGAAGGAAAGAGAGGAGCGCGAGAGTTTGAAGTCCCTAGAAAAAGAGGAAGTGAGAAGGGAGAAGAGTAAACGATAGAAAGACCCATTTGCTTACAGCCGCGAGGGAGAGAAGGGAAGGGAGGTGGGGAAGAGGAAGAATGGTAGATAAAGAGGAAAGAAGAAAGGGAATAACCAGCAAAAGAAAAAGTGAGAAGTTGAATAGTAAAGAGAAGTGGAAAATAAAGGAGACCCACTAGCTTGAAGCTCCTGGGAAGGGAAGAAGGGAGAAGGGGAAGGAGGAAGAGAACTAAATAAAGAAGGAGGAGGAGAGAAAGGACGAGGAATAGAAAAAGGGAGAGGGAGGAGAGAGAGAGAGGAAGAGAAAAGAAAAAGAAGGAGGAGGAGAGAGAGGAACCAACCTGCTTAAAATCTCTGGAAAGAGAGGGAGAAAGGAAGCGAATGAGGAAGAGAAATAGAAAGGATGGAGGGGATCGAAAGATACATAGAATAGAATGGAGGAAAGAAAAGAGAAAAAAGGAGGAAGAAAATAAAGAGAGAGATAGAGGCCAACCTTCTTCGAGCCCGAGGTAAGAGAGGCAGGCAGAAGGGGATGGAGGAAGAGAGAAAAAATAAAGTAAGAATAGGAGAAAAGGGTCAAAGAGGAAAGAAAGGAGGAAGGGAAGTGGAAATGAGGCAGACGAAGGAGGAGAGGGGAGAGGAAGAGAAGCTGAAAAAGGAGGAGGAGGAGGAGAAAGAGGAAAAGGAATTGAAGGAGAAGAAGGAAGAAAAGGAAGATGAATAGAAAGAGAAGAAGGAAGAAGAAGAGAGAGAAAAAGCGATGTAGAAAATAATGATGCGGAGGATAAAGAGAAAAAGTAGGAAAGGAAGAAGAAGGAGGAAGAGAGAGAAGCAACGAAGAAGAAAATAACAATAATGATAATGAGGAGAAAGGAGGAAAAGCAGAAAAAGCAGGAGGAGAAGAGGAAAAAGTAGTAAGAGGAAATCAGGAGAGAGAGAGAGAGAGAGAAGAGAGAGAGAGAGAGAGAGAGAGAGAGAGAGAGAAGAGAGAGAGGAGAGAGAGAGAGAGAGAGAGAGAGAGAGAGAGAGAGAGAGAGAGAGAAGAGAGAGAAAGCAGAAAAGGCAGAAGGGAGGAGAAGAGGAGCCCACTGCTTGAATCCTCTGTAGATGAGTTGGATTTCCTTCCTGGAGAACTTGGTCGTCTTGGCGAGCTTGTCCAGTTCCTCCGGGCGGTAGCGCTGCACGTGCAGGCTGAGGTCGTCCATGTCATCCT